CTGCATTGGCAACACCGGCTCCGAGTCGCTGCCAGCCCAGGCAGCACGAGAGGCCGAATTTGCTAGAACCCCATTGCAGATAGAGGGATGGGAGGTTTAACGTTGCAGGGCAACAGATCCTGCCAAGATCCCCTCCGCAAAGGAAACTAGAGGATTTGAAGTCATTTGGAAGATTGGTGGCAAAGCTGAGGACAAGGATGTTACTGCCGGCAGCCTGAGCGTTCTGCGTTCGCGGCCACCACAGTGCCAATCCCCAGCACCCACCACAACCTGCACCTCGAGACGTGGGACTCAAAGCTTATCTTCAGTCCCTTTTACAATATAAAGTGTCTTTGTTTAGTCAACAGAATCGCTAATACATGTGATTTTGTTGTTAGTAGAGCTGTAAGAATTTTAAGCACCTCTTGGGAATGTGTCATTTTTGGTTGGCTTTTTAAGGCATCACAGGGTGCTGCATTTGTCTTTGTAAACAAGTATTGAATAAAACATTCTGAGAGCAGCCCCACTTTGTACAAGTGTCATGCAGGTTTATAGGGTTTCAGCGCAAATAAATCAACCACTAACGGCTGCCTGGCAGTTGACTTCGCTCCTTATAAATAGCTAATTTGGACAACTTCTTCCTTCCCCACGTCAGAGGAAATTCAAATGTTGGGCATATCATTACTGTGTCTGCACAGATCAGAAATGTCTCTTTTGCAAGCAGGGTTTGCAGCAGAGATGGCAGAGCAGAGTGTGGTTCGCTCGAGGTTGCTCTTCCATCTCCTCTTGGGGGAAATCCTTGGGGAATAGGAGCCAGTCACCACAGCCTGCTCAATGTCACCACTGCAGAGCTCTCACTGCCTGGCCCTGCTGCTGCCACATTATCCTGATTTTTGCCATCAGTCAGGGGAGAATCGGCGTGAACTCAACTGTGGAAAACAGAAACCCAGCAGAAAAACTTTCTAGCTTGAGGCTTGGTTGAGCCTGGCTGTCCCGCATCGGAGCTGTTGCACATTTATATCCCCGGTCCTCCCGGGAGAAGTGCAGCACTGCGCAGGATGCATCCCAAGCACCCAGCATCCAGCCCACAGGCTCCGATCCTGCAGGGTGCTGAGCAGCTTCTGTCACTTGTGTGTGGATTTTGGCCAGCACTCAGCAGGACCAGCCCCGCAGCGCAATGATCAGGGAGCGAGGAACGCAGCTTGAGCGAGTGCCCCCCTTCCCCGCAATGCAAAACTGCTGTGCATTCCTCTATGCGGGTTTCCATAGAGTTGAACTGTTTTTTTGCCATCGTTGTTAAAGGGGTCAGCAGAGCCGCGCACATCGGGATCTCGCACGCAGGAAACGCGGAGGCGTCCGGGGACACGGTTAACGTCTCGCTGGTGGGTTGCAGGGCAGCCCTAAAAAACAGCATCCTGCAAATCGCAGCACCAGAGAGGAGCAAAACGCTTGGAGGAGCCCCGGGGCGATTTGTGAAGACATATTGCTTTGCAGATCCTAACTTTAAATAAGTTATTTTTCCACCACCCCCTGCTTCCTTCACTAAAATATGGTATTCTAGATTTAATTGCTTCAATCCTATTACTTGTTCCCTTCAGCAGTGATTGTGTAGCCCCTTGCTGGGGGGAAATCCCCTGATCGCGGGTCCCTGCTACTTAGACAAGTCCCCTTTCAGAAGTAAATGCCATTCTTAGCATAGGGAAGTACTTTAGGTCTAAAGGGGTTAAGAAGGCCTCCCTGCATTCAGAAACATGCAGGGGTCCCACCGTGCCAGTTCCAGCCTTTTAAACTCTTTCCAGCTTTTTTTTCTTGCTACAAATCTGTCTGACTGCCACCAGGACATAGGAAGCGTGTGCCTGTCAAAGAAATCAAGTTTACTTTTTCTGACTTGTTAACAGAGGCAGGGTATAAATAGAGCTAACTCTGCTTAGACTATTAGTATTTCTCTTAAAATAAGGGGTAACTTCCTTGGACCTCATTAATCCAATGAGGTCCAGGCCACACCGCTCTATCAAGAGAGGCAGGAACAGAGCTTGCTGAAATTTTTACACAAGGCACCTTCTTTGGGGGTTCCTCAGAAATTTAAGAGAATTAAGAGCAACCCTAAGCGAAGGAGAGCTCCCCTCCAGCTCCGTGCCTGCCCTCACCCCGGAGAAGGGCTGAGATGTTGGTGATGCTACTCACACGCTGGATGTGCATCTTGCTGGGGAGGAGCAGTGTCCTCTTGCTCCTGGAGGTCCCTCTTCAGGGCAGAGCTTTGCCGCCCGTCCGGTACTCGCACGCTGGGATATGCCCCAACGACATGAACCCCAACCTGTGGGTCGATGCACAGAGCACTTGCAAGCGGGAGTGCGAAGCCGACCTGGTGAGTGCTGCGATTTCTGTGCATCTGCGCGGGGAAGTGGGGCTCGGCCGGTGGCTCCGTTTCTGTTCCAGACAGAAAGGCATCGGCCCCGCGCGGGATCTGGTGCAGACACCGTGGGTCTTTTCAATTGCCCTGTGACTTATCAAAATCACAAAAAGGTTGGATGCAGCAGGTGTTACATGCGGAAGTGTGAGGCATCTGTCACTCACACTGATGCAGGTGCAGCAGTCACTCGGTTTGAGCATTTCCCTTGCTTTCTTGCCAAAAGAAACATCCAAATTTGATACTCTAGAACTCAGCGTGTGTTGGGGCCAATCCATAATATTTTAGTGATGTCACTAAGTCCTTTATTGTCAGCGGCCATCATCAATGCTTTATATTCCTTGGAGGGATTTTGTATGAAATCATTTGATTTAGTATGTAAATCACCAGCTTTCACTGAGCTTGAAGCATAAAGCGTGCTTAGAGTGGAAAACAAAAACAGGGGCATGGTTAAAATGACCAGGCAGATGTTCTCAGCAATATTCCAGCTCAAAATTGGCTTTGCTTACCACCCTGAAAAACATTTTTCAGCCTGTCAGCATTGCCTGCTCAAGCTGGCATCTGAAAATACCTGCTCTTCCTGTCCCTTGCATCATGCCCAATGGCACAGGTTCTGCAGTCAAAACTGGGCTGACAGCAATATAAACCATACTGAAAAAAATATATCTACCGCTCCATAGCATAGCTCCTTCATACTGCCAGGAGTGATGGAAAAGGGAGGAAGAAGACGGCCATCAAGTGAAGAGAGATTTACTAAAACAGATTAGATATGTTACAAATCAAGGTGCTCTTCTTACTCTTGTCACTTGCAACTCAGCCTCCTTTATTTCAGCTGCCAGGTGCAGCAAGGAATACTAAAATGCTTGCAAAAAAACTAACAGCAGCAGAGGGCATTGTTTGAATAAATTTCCAATCAAGAATTGAAAGCCAGAAGCCACTGGATCAAAATCCTCACTTTTATCTTGTGACAATGCAGGGTCCTGGGGACTCACATGCCTGCAGTCTGCAAATGACCCTTGTGCCACCAGCTTCACTAAAACCAGGCTCATTACCCTCAGCTGAAAATATTATTCATTTTGCTTTGCAGATTTGCTTCTGAAACATAGAAGTGTGCAGCTCGAAATGGGG